AGACATTTGTCAGTGTGTTATGTGATCGCTATCAAGTTGGTTGGGTTTTTTTGTGTTCTTTCATGTAGTGAGCTTGTAAAACGTAATCAAATTGAAGTAATGGTGCAAAGAGTTGACTGGTTTCCCAGAAAGCAATGTAAAATAGTATTATTAAGTGAACAAGGCTACAGTTATAAAGAAATTAGAAGAAAAATTGGTGTAAACTTAACCAAAGGTGGTATTTCTTCTGTACACTTTTCCCAAAAGGTTTCCACAATTTTGGCCACTACTGCATATATAACCAGTTCACAATCATTCAAGCTTATTTTTGCAGATTGAATAGAGTCTTCCTAAATTAATTTCAACTTATCTTGTTGAAAATATTTGCAGCAATCATATGACAGAAGAACAGAAAATAGTCCAGGGTCTTTAGAACAAAAATGTGATTTTCTTGAATTTGATTTGTTGTGATATTTAAGATCAACTTTGGTGCTTCGTAAACCATGGTTTATGTGTTAATATAATAGCAACTCATAGCAACTAGTAAAATAGTTTAAAAATTGCTATGTCCAAAAGCCCAAAATAAATTGTTGGTTTCAAAATACATCTCTAAAATTGGATTTGGCTCATCATGTTTAAAATGAAGACATAACTGTCCCACCTCTCACTGAATGCATTTCCATTAAGCCTTTATCATAGAGTTCCATTATTTTTTGTAGATTCTATTTCCTGATCTAGCCTACTTTGAAGCACTGATATTATACAAATGTTATTAATACCATGTTAGAAAATATTTTTATGTAAAATCTTGCATTTTGCACATTCCTTTTCGTTTGGGATATATGTTTGTAGAATAGAGTTAATGCTCTCAATTGTAAACAGATATCTGGTTTACTATGAAGAAAGGAAATCTAATCTTAAATTGTTATAAATGTACAATTGATATCAGGTTAAGTATTTTATCTAGAGAATTTTTCTAAAGTGAATGAGAATAACTTTAAATGAAGATTATGTAAAGTAACTGTTTTAAAGAGCTTAAGATCAGTGATGGTTTATATGGCAGAACATCTTTCCAGAACCTAATTCAGAATTCTGTATAGCAGAAGTTTCTTGTGCTTTGCATAGTAAGGAACTCATCCTGTAATCTCATGTTGGAGTTTGTGGCTAGCTTTTGCAGGGAACTGATGGTGATAAGTTGCAGAATTTTGAAGAGATGCATTTCTTGTTATCTGTCCCATTTTAACTGGTAACAAAGATTTCTTTCTCCTTTTCACAAGTCAGAAGAGCTATTAGTGACACTCAAGACAGAACTATTTATCCTAATGAAATTTGTTTGATTTCATAATCCTCCACAGCTAACAACAGGACATTGACTAAGTCACAATATGACTGGGCCTATGCAGCATAAACCATAAACTTGATCTATAAATACAATGGGTACATTCATACATTGCTGTTAACCAAATCCAAGGAAATGAGTTGATGATTTAGCTAAGTATGTGAATGCAGGCAATATAATATTGACTGCATTGTCAGGATTCACAAACTTACATAGCTAAATCATTGGACTAGATCTGATTCAGTTCCATTCTTACCTATGGAAACTCACTGTGTGGCTTTAAACAGAATTCTGCCTTAATCGAGTTTGTGACATAGGATTGTTGTTGATGAAAAAAGATTGTCAAGTAAATTATCCTGAACTTCTAGAGGAAAGACAGAATATAAATTGACTAAAATAAAATTAGTTCAGGGAAATATAAGCAAACAGAGAATTGCAAATTCAATCCTGGCCTATCTACTTTGATAGGGATAGCATCAAATGTAAGTGGATGCAGACTCAGGTTTCACTTAACACTTTTAAACTTCTTTCTTTTTATGAAACTTCCCAGTCTGGTGTGCTTCCAGTGGGTTAGATGAGAACTCGTATGTCCATTCTGCCTAAGAATTATGGGATTTTAAAAAAGCTGCTTTATATATTGCTAAATCTTTTTAGTCAGTTTTAATACTAAAAGAAAACCTCAAATGAGGAAGACTAATGTAAAAAGCTTTAAGGTGAAAGCAGCTATGGAGAGCTGGATCATGTTCTGAAGTGACTGATTCTTTGCTCTAATTTCTTTTATTAATTTTATCTTCTGGTGTTGTTCCTTGCAGAGAGTGAATCTATCCTTCGATTTTCCATTTTATGGCCATTTCCTACATGAAATTACTGTTGCAACTGGGGGTAAGTGGCTTCTTTACAGTTCACTTTGAATAAATTTGACAAAAATCTGACATTTCAGATCAAGTAGATTTCCTTCATATTTTAAGGAAATTAAGTGTAATACAGCAGAGCTTGCATTAGCCAGTATGTGAGGATACATTCAAATTCAGTCTATTTTTTATACAAGCATCTCTCTTCCTCCCCCCACCTCTTTCTCTCTCTCTCTCACACACACACACAAAATCTAATCCTTTTGAATGAGTTTCTTTTTTCTTTGCCTGAACAATCAAATATGATCTAGGAAACAGAAGGTGTCTTTTATTGGAGAAAAAGTATGGTTGAAAATGTCACATTTCCTCATACATGACTGAGATAACATCATGTAATAGACTGTAAGAATCACCTTGAGAGACAGGAGAAAGAGCTGCAACTTAGACAATGGTGTCATAAATTAAATCTGAATCCAAAGCAGAAATGGAGTTGAGAAAGCATTTCAGAACTGACCCTTCTTGTTCTCTGAAATGTAAAGGCGGGGCGGGGGTGGGGAGGCAAGCACTTTTGGACTTGCAAAGTTCTGTTACTGTAATTGTACAATGAAATTGGTATTAGTGTTCTTGGATTTGGTTTCCTGATTTGGACTACTTTGAAGAGCTGAGACATCAACAATGAGTAGTAGCTGTACCCTATTTTTATGATCTCATTCTTTGCCAATTCCTCACTATCCAATGGGATTGCTACTAGCGTAGGATTTTAGGCCAAAAACTGCAATTAATTCTATAGCTTGAAGTTGCCCAATTCTGGAGATTTTAAAAAAACCTAGATTAATTTAATACTGCTTAGTTCTGTTTTCATCAGCTCTGTATTTCTCTGTTCATTATAATTTTTTTTACTGGCTATATTTTCTTTTGACCCTCAATTAATGAAAAAGGAGAGAGGGGGAAAAGAGCCAACACTGATTGCTGGCTCATTTGGTCAATTAGTGTATCCTTGTCCTCAATTCTTATTTTGCAAAGGTTATTTGACTCCCATGTCTGACGAAAATCAGTGTGTACTGCCATTAATAATGTAATTAATTGTTCTAGAGGTGGATATATCATATGGGATTCCTATGAATACTAATTCCAGAAACTGGGAAACTACTAAAGGCCTAAACGTTTTGTAAGAATAAGAAAGACTGTCTAACATAAAATTTCAGATACTGGCTTAGGGGAAAAATAAGCACCAAGCTTCCAATTAGGTTCCTTAATTTTAACATCCATGCTGAGGGGTAGGAGTGAAGGTCAGAAATGAAAAAGCTTAGCTGTCCAAAATTCAAACCTAGTGGTCCCAATACTGAGCCTGGCCTTGCAAGCTTAAATGAAAGCCACAGGATAAACTTTACATTGAGTACTTAATTAACGGTATTGTTTGGTTCTAACAACGTAAAATAATTTTCATCAGACTGTAGCAGTACTTTTCAGATATAAGAAGTTAATAGCCTAGATGGTTTTTCTGGATTTGGAGTGTAAAATATCTTCTAGTCAGGGCAAAGATATTAATATTTGCATTATTATGTTTAGTTGATTAATTTTATTAATTTTAATCTTTTCAGTGTTCAGCTCAGTGATCTTACCTGCATAGACCCTCATTCAGATCTTTAAAAAAAATTAAAGGATTTACCAGATATTTATTAATTTCAAACTTAGAGCATGTGCACATTAGTCCAAATATAGTCCATTTTGTAATAGTAAAAGCAAAGAAGAATTATTGCATTAATTTTTCTTTTTATGTAATTACCAATAAAATGCAAAACATTGCATTTATCTTTCTTAAAATGCACTGGTCTATATAAAATATCCTCTAATTGATATGTGGACTTTTAGTACATAACTTCTTCAAATAAACATATTTTATAGGTTTTGTACTGTTTCGAATTGGTAACAACAATGTATTCCATGAGCGTCCATTTCTATAGTGATAGAATCTGCTAAGACAGATGTGAGAACACTTTTCATGAAAAGACAACTCTGATGAATTTCTTTTGCATCCTTATCTTCTATATTCCAATGTATTCTGGGCTGATAACATGTTCTAAAAACCTGTCAATGAGATAATGTGAGAAAAGACTGCTTCCCTCTACTGGTTTTATTTGAAAGCCAGGGACAAAAAATGTATTCCAGTAATGCAAGTCAATAGAGCCATATGATGATGATGATGATGATGATGATGATGATGATTACTATTGTTATTATTGTTATTATTGTTATTATTATTATTTTGTCCTAAACTATTGAGGGCCTTCAGCCGGAAAACTATGAGTTAAGCTGAAATTTTTGAAACTGATGTTCCCCTTTGATAAAAGACCATGCAAAGCATACTCTTGAAGTTGCTTTTTGGAGCTATTCAGTCCCCACTATGGCCTCCATAAACACTTTGGCAATAGCCAAAAGATGCTTTGACACATACCAGCACCTGCCAAATAGCTCTCACAAGTGCCAGACAAGGTGAAGAGAGGATACAGACCACCTCTTCCAAGCAAAGTTGTATCTTACTATTTTTGCAATATAATACCCTTCATCTGAGCTACATCTTGCATACTCTCATATGTGGAATTAAAATTTGTCCCATTGGATTTTGTTGGAAATTAAAACTCTTTCAATGACTGGATTGAAAAAGCCCTTGTGACAGGAGCATTATTAGGATTTTTTTTATATGGAGGGAAAAACATATAAATGGCTAAAATTTAGCAACATTGTCCCCTTCAAAGTATAAATGTCATATGAAGATTGTTTTATATATCTATTTCTACATGAATTATGCAATAAAACCTAATTGTTCAGTTGGAGATCTAACTGGAAACTTCCCATAATTTTAACCAACATTCTGTGTTGATAGTGTTCTTTGAGGGTTTTTTTTAGGTCTGATTATATCTATGAAGCCCTGAGAATTATTATCTTATGAAGCATGTTTTAAAATCATTATGCTTTTAAAATAATGTCAATTCTAATTCTTTAAATAAGTATATACTGACTAGTATTCATATTCTAATCCAATCATTGTATCATTTATTAACTAAATGATAGTTTATATTAGTTCATAAAATCCTAAAGATTTAGTAATCATTGCAGGATAAACAGAAACAAATGAATTTATGAGCTATGATTTTGACAGATAGGATAAATTACTAAGAAGAAATTTATAAGGTAAATTTACAATTGTACTTACAACTTCTTTAAAGCAGTTCAGAAGCCACTTCTTTATATCTTGTTTCTTTCTTTTCTATTTTTCTTTTACTTTTGTTTTTTGTTTTTTGCACCTTAGCTTTCTCTTTTATTTCTTTTTTATTTCTTATTGTTTTAATTTGTATTAATTTTTACTCTTGTTTTTTAAGCTTTCAGTAAAAAAAAGATCATTGTAGAATGACCTAGATTAGAAGATCCCCAAAAGTCTAATATTACCGTTACCTTCAAAACATTTCTACAAATACTCAACTTAAAATTGTTGCTCTATAATTTAAGGCCACTACATCTAAGCTTTACTTTCAGAGTGAACTTATGTGACTATATGATCTTTTCTATCTACAGTTGTTCTATACTAAATTTGGAGTTGCTATCCTTTCAACCAATGTCTCATAAGGTGTATTTTAACCTGTAAATTCTGTCCCTTGTCTTCCTTTCAATCTATTCCACTTTGTCTATTTCTATGTAAAACTGCTGTCTCAGATCTTCATATAATCTCCTGTTCAAATAAAAGTCTAAACTAGAGGGATTCACTGAAATCCATTGATTTATGAGAAAACACAGAAACAAACTCCCCAGGCAAATAGCTTCTGATTGAAATAAAAAATAAAGTAAAATGCTGCATAATTCCAGGAGGAATTACATGCAGAATTTCCCTGTATTACAAGATGAGCACTAACATATTAAGTGATGATTATCATTATTCCAACCAGTATCCTTCTTATCCTTCTAAAATAACTTTTAAATAATACTTTCAGTTTTGATGGCTTATAAATATGAAAGAGATTTTGAGATGCTTTCATCTTCCATCTCATTCACCACAGCAATGTCCTGAGTGTGTTGAGTGTGTTGTTTCTACATTCTGTACACTTAGAAGTTTCCATAGTAACACAGTTGAAAATTGACATATAAGTTGTGATCTTGCCTGATAGGTAAACATTAAAGACAACAAATTGCAGTTGTCAACATTTGGAAGATAGTGAAGATGTGATCAGAAGGCCATTGAACTCAGACTGAAACCTTCATGATATCCGATTTAGTAGTTTCTCCAACTATACAATTAACTGAAATCTTGTGTCTCCTATGGAAAATAATGAATAATAGCTTGTGTTAGAATCCTGTGTTTTGCAAACATACTTTCAGTGTGAAAGTGTGCAGAGGCTCAAATAAAATAACCTGGAAACAATTCTGAACAGAATTTATATTGATAAATCATTAGGCAACTGATAAACAATTCATGTTTGAGTGAATGTTATTGCACAATTTCAGTTCTGCTAATTCTAGGTTAGGCAGGATATTGGCTTCAGAACAATTTTATTTATTTATTTTATTTATTAATTGTATTTATATCCCGCCCTTCTCCTTTCGGACTCAGGGCGGCTGACAAATGATAAAAAGCTAACATATTACACCTAATTTAAAATTTGATTAAAATGAAATATTTAAGAATGTCAAATTTAAAAGTAATTAAAACCCCTATAAAATCCCCTAGGCCAGTCCCGCTTGCTGGAA